TTCATACACGCACTTTTTTTTTTTCATGAACCATCCGGATGGTTCTGAATTTGGATGAACTGAAAACATCATATCACTCCAAATACTCTAGATACCTTAAACACCCAGAACAAGGATACAAGTATATCATTTTAAGTAATAAGAATACAATCATCATACTCAGGACATTTAATGTTGTTAAATCAAATTTTCCCATTTGTCTTGATAATGTCCTTTACAGCTTTTTTTTTTTTCAATCCAGGGTCCAATCAGAGATTGCTTTTAGTGTCATGTCTTTATAGTCTCCTTTCACACTTCTTCTGCCTTAAAAAAAAAATTCTTTCACGACATTAATATTTTTGAAAAGTCCATTCCAATCAGAATGTCCCTCAGTTTAGATTTGTGTGATTGTTTCCTCATTATTAGACTGAAGGTACATTCAGGCATCCTTGAGATCTCACTACTATAAAAGTACATTTTTTCTTTGTAATTAATTAAGCAACCCGATTGTGTAGAAATTTCTGGTTTTCCCACAGTCTTTCACTTCATGGTTTAGCATTCATTGAAGATCCTTTTCTGAATCAATTGCTACAACGGTGGTTGCAAAATGGTGATATCTCTATCACTTAGTTGGCATCATTTGCAATCCTGGTTTAAACTTTGTCTTTCTCATGATATTTTTGGCTTACAGATATTTTGTTGATAATACAGTTACCCTTCAATGGTCCTTACTCTGTGCCAAGCACAGTTTGCTTTATATATACATTATCTCCTAGAATTTCTGTAGCTCTCCATAGGGGCAGGATTCATTCTCTCCATTTACAGCCAGGATTAGTGGCTTAGTGACTTGCCCAGAGCCAAGGTTCAAACCCACTCTGTTAGCCACTTTGCAATATTGTCTCCCTGTATGATAATAATTTATTTACTATGCATAACTAACTATAGATGTCATTTTTTTAGCTGTCCTGTGAAGTTCAAAATGGGCCATAGTGACCAGTCCCACAGGTCAGTGACAACATTCTGATGCCTGGCTGAACAAACAGCCCTGTGTGTGACCAGCCTGGGATCAAAGTTTCAATTAGTTCTGGTTGATTGAATTTAGCTTATTGTTCAATTGGCCCATGTGCTTTGTATTTTACAGAGTATTCAGCGTTTTTGTTTTAATAGCTGATAACATCCAGTTCTCTGGATCCTGTTGAGAAAATAACCTCCCCAACCCAACATCTTCCCTAAAAAAATGGATGAATCAAAATGTAAATTTCTGGTGCAAATATCAAATTGTGAAATTCTCAGGTTGGGCCAGAAGACTGCTTGTTGACTGGAATGTCTCTGGGACCAGGACCCTTACAAAATTACAGAAAGACTCAACAAGGCTGCCTCACAGGCAGCCTCCCACCACTGACGCAGAAATGATGAAATTGTGCAATGATGTGCAGCATCCTTCGTGTTCCTTGGGTCCCTGACCCTGTCTGGACTAGCCAGGAAATTCCTCTAAGCTGAGACTAACTCAATATGACAGAACTGGATAGGAAACAGGGCTTTCCAGTCTATAGAAGTGGCAGCTTGTGCAACAGGCAATTTTGAGTCAGGTGCTTCTCGAAAAGTAGTGTTTTAATGCCACTGAAGCCTTTCTAGGTCAAGAGAAGCTCATAAAACTTCCGTTTTTTGAGGTTCCAATGAGTTTTTAAAATGAAGAAATATGAAAATAGGATTATAGCTCTTGGGATGCATTTTAACTCTTTAACAAAGTGGGGTATTGCTGAACTATTTCTTGTACCTCTGTGACTGTATATATGCCCTTATTTGAGGACAACGTGATAAATCTAAATCAATGCAACTGCTGCAAAGGGTTCAGTCTTTGCTCTAATCCTAAGTAATATGCAGCTGAGACACCTCAGCCTTTAATCCATTCCTGGTCATGAGGGGTTTCACTTTCTAACACATTCATTTTTTTCCATCATTTTTAGACTTTTAAATCAATATATATTACTTTTTTTTTATAATAAAAAGGTAGTTTTTAAAAAGTATTTTATAGTTAGCTTCGTTTCCAAGGTGCTACCAATCTTGTCCCTCCAACCATCATGATAAACGATGTCTATAAAGTAGTATTTAAATACATTACATATCTGCTATTGAGAAAATGGAAAGAACTAGGAAAATCATGGTAGAGTTCCTGTGTTAATCTGGAGTTGAAAATAATGGATCTCATTGTGACATGATCTCTTCCATGCCCCCTAGTAATCTGAATTTTAAGGGAGAAATCTGAGACTTTGATGGGCTAACCATTCAGGTCCAAGTGAATTTCCAGGGAATGAACCTCCCACTGGGAGACATAACTGTGTGTATAATACATACTTAGAACTGCCAAACCGAGGGCGAACTGAGTTTGGGACAACCGACAACCTCTTCAGCATGATGGAAACAGGGAGAGGAAGCCAGCTTCCCCAAGTGGGATGCAGTAGGTGGCCTCGACCTGTCATGGTGGTGCAGCGATGGGATCTGAATAGGTTCCCAACCAGTTCACCAATGAGAGCTTCATTTGCAACATGGTAACATTAAGCAAGAAGCTTTATAAGCTAGAAAGTGTTATACACATTAATTCCTATTGTTAAATACATTTTTCTATGTACATTTTATAATTTTAACAACTGAACAAATTTCGTTCTACCACTATACTTATAGGGACCCTCCTAGGAGGCTGGCTTTGGGCATACAGTCACAGACCGCCAAAGGCTTACAAGTCAGTGAAGGAGGAAAACACAGTTGCCTGTTAGACGACAGCCATTCCTTAACCATACCCCTTCAGGTTCGGTTTACATAACCCTGTCCCCACATCCACCTCCCCGTCCTCTCATCTCCGCAGAGCTGACTCTTCTTGCCCGGGGCTTCTGTCATTCCGCTCACCACCTCGTATTGAAACTGTTCATTAGTTTGGAAGCTGCACGAATTGGTGGGGAAATGTGGGACTCCAAGATCTAGAATCTGGGCAAGTTATTTGACTTCTCTGAGTTTGTTTCCTGTCAAATGGGTTGTTTCGAGAGTTCACTGAGAGAGGATGTACGCAAAAGCGCCTGGCACCGTGGGAAAGTGTCAACATCCTCCTTTGGTGTTTCAGCGCCTGGCACT